TTTTTTTTTTTGCAATTCACCTATACAATACAAAGTCACGTTGCACGCGTGGGTGGGCATGCTCAGTTTACTAAAAGCGGAGTCAACTGCTAGCGTGAGTTGTTAGCACGAGCTCCTTAGCGAGCTAGCCATGACGGAGAACGGCTTGAGTGTCGCACAGCCTCATTAAAAAAATGATGGCCAATGGGCAAATAAAATGTTCTTAAACCGCTGCCAGTTTTACTACAGTGACACTGTAGTGAAACAGATTCGATTTTTCCATTAATTCCAATGGGGGAAAGTTGGTTTTGAAATTTTAATGGCCATGTGTAGCACAACCAAAGCTCGGGCCATTTGGACCATCATGCCAAAACAAACAGCCAAAAGGGTATTTAACATTCAAGCGACAGCTGCGGCGTGATCCATGAGACTCCATCGACACGCAAAGTCGAGGTAAACCGAAGCGAACGCCGCCGCGCGTGGCGATCGCGCGTACAAAGATAACGATAGACCTTTGAGCCAAAGCGACGGTATAGCTGCGCAGGAAACGATAGGGTTAGATGAGATTCCTCTGCCAGGCTAATCCATCCTGCTAGCGCAGAGGAGTAAAAACGAGAGAGGGGCGTGCCGACGAACGCTGCGGCGGTGACACGGGGCAACTCTCGAGGGCCTTGCATTAGCGCGCTAAATTAAAGGGGGTATTAGATTAAATTGGCTCTCCGATTTCAGGGGTGTGAGTAAAATTCTGATTTGCATTTTTCCAACCGCTGCTTAAGATATAATTAGTTCAGGGCGATTCCCATGTGTGGGAAATGCTGACAGCCAAATCTAACCGGCTGCCAGTCGCTTATCATCGCTCGCAAGGCAACGAGGTAGGTGAGGCAAGAAGGTTTGTGTGTCTTTGGGTATTTAGCCAGAGCGTGGCTGCTGAACAGTTTGTCACTCTTGGCAGGAGCAGTTTGCTTCCTTCGTCTCGTCTGGCGCCAGAAAATCAGTCAACTGTAAATATTTCTGACAAGACAGGGTGATGCTCTTTTTAGACGACGCATGAGCAACTTACTGCCCCCGAAACCATTCGATCCAACCCGGCGCCGCCCAATCGTGAAAACAATTAAAGCTGCAAGACAAGATGACCGGGCCATAGCACCTGCTTCTGCGTGGTGCTCATTTGGGCAAACGCCCCGCCCGGTAGATGTTGCTCAAAATACAAGCCCAGGAAGATGTTCAAAATGGCTGCTTCGAACCAAAATGGATGATTTTCTGAGATTTCGTGCATGGGAGTTGAATGCGGGGAAACTGGTTTTAGGGCCTAATGTCATTTGATTTCTTTTTTGGGGGCTTTTAACCCTTTCATGCGACAATATTGATAACCTGTAATCTGATAACATGATAGACTGTCGTGACCGCTGTCCCTGAAAGGGTCAATGACTAAGTTTTGAGGCACTGTGTCAGTGTTGGGGACTCCACATATTATAGGCGCACTTGACAAAATTGCTTTTGTATGATTGATTAACTGATACTTTAAGAGTTTGCGGTTAGGGTTACAGAATGAGAGGGTGTTTCTAAACTTTGGACTGACACTATATACACAAGAGTGAATAGACAACCACTGACTATTCCACGATCTTTATAAATCACCCGGCGCCTTGGGCGCTCCCCTCGGCACTCTCCTCTTAAACTCACTCGACGGGTTTTCAATGAGGTTGCGGTCTGGGGATTGAGAGGGCATGGGAGGAGCTTTATTCTGTGTCTGGTGAACCATTTCTACAATCTCCGGTGCGAGAGTATCCTTCTGCAATAAAAATGGAACTTGTTTCAAGAATTTTAAAGCGGGACCAGGAATGACGAAACTTGTCCCGCTGCAACTAGAATAGCCTATCGGAGACTTTTGTGGCAGAAGGTGTGACCAAAGAGTATGTCTTTGATTGCCGTGCTCGCACAATCACACTCATATGTCACTCAAGTCTGTCACACACAGCAGCCTAGCGGTTATAGTTTTCTTGGGAGGATTATTTTACTCCGGTCAGCAAATCCAGTTAAAAAGAATGAATTGGACAGCTCATGAAACAAAGCATCAAATCGGTAACATTTAGTGTTTTGAAACTTTGCAACATGGTTAAGACATGCTAACAACATAGCAACCGTGGCTCACATTGGCTTGTTTACAGTGGATTTTACATTGAGTGCGTGTCTCGTGGCTATTCGTGAGGGGCATGGCACAATACTCTGCCCACATCAGTTTAACATTGGAAATCAGTCGAGGATACCTGCTGCCGGTTCCGGCTCATTCTGCTGAAATCCGGACTAAAAGCAGCCTTGGAATTCACAAAAAATGCGAGGCTTTGAACTAAAATGTTATGTTTAGATTTGAATTTCGTACATGGGGATTTTGAGATTTTCCTTCGTCCTGTCATGACGAAACATGCCGACACGATTTTGTGTTGACTGGCGAAGCTAGATTTGGGCCGCTAATTTTTTTTCTCTCCAAATTTTCCAGACAGCACTGATACGAATGGCTTGTTGAACATTATATTTGAGACTCCAACATCAATTTTCACCAGGACACACGTACATTCAAAAACTTTTTTTTCAGCCACGGTGAGGCCACTAAAAAATATTCATTTGTCTGAAGAAGCAAATCCAAGAGCGCATTCGCGCCGCTTGGTGCTCGGGCCATGAATAACACCTTAAAAGAAATGATATAAAAAGCCGCAGAACATTTGAACCCACAAAAGGATTTCCCCACCGTTGCCAGTCTAGACATCGCAACACATTTCCGTAAACGTAAGGCTCGTAAGTGTAATTACCGTCATCGGAGTCCATCATCAGAATTAGCGAACTTTACAAAGGTTGCTTTTAAAAGCAAGTGTGGTTTTGTTTTGGCGAGTGTACCCGTACATTAAAAAAACAAAAAACAAAAACAAAGTCACACTGACTTCTCGGACATCTGTTTGAGACACCTGTTTGTACACAAGCTTCCGATTGCCACCTATGTGATGTAAAAATTGCAAGCTGTAACCCACGAGAGGAACATTTTATTGTCAGGCATAAACCTCGGTGCCACTTTGAACTATGTGATGCATGTAAACATCACAGCACGGTAAAGTGAAACAACTTTCTGCCGAGGGAAGTCATCAGCTTAGGTGCTGCGTTTACAGCAGATTCAAGAGAAGCAAACCTCTTCTGATCTTGTCTTTTTTTTTTTTTTTTTTTTTTGAGATGATTGACTTTTGTGGTTAAAAAAAAAAAATCTGTCTGTCTAATCTGGATTTACTATTCCAAAGAAATGTTTAAACATCAATGAGTAGAGGTTTTTTTTTTTTTTTTTTCCCCAGAAAACCTTGAGTTTCATTTCAGGATCAATATTTTCCATGGCGTACCTGCAGGGGCGTAATTAGGGGAGGGAGTCGGCGAGACCTAAAAACCTTCAATCCCTACACCAGAAACTTTTTGAACTTGGAAAAAAAAAATAAATACATTTAAAAAAAAAAAACATGCAGAGTCACACGCTCTTTTCAGCCAACATTTCTCTGAAGCTCCCCTTGAACACATCATGAACACTCGCTGCACAGGCGGGTGTTGGATAGTGTCGGCCATTGGACGTAATTATTGTTATCGTGCTACTTCTGCTGTCTTTTTATTGTCCACCGGAGTTTGACACTTTTTGGGGGTTTTGTTTTTTTTTTTTTCCCTTTGGCCACTAAGAGAGAAGTTGAATGCGAGAGATGATCATTTGCTCCTAAAAGTGTGCCTACAGCCCAGCTATGTGGTCACCCTGACTTGAAGACTAGGCTCCAAAAAAAAAAGCTTCAATGAGATTGATCAATGAGAACACGTCCCGTTGTCAAATTCATTCGATGATGTCAAAGTGTAATCATCAAATTCCGCCGTCATTCACGTTGAGCCCTGTTATGAGACCGGGAGCTTTGAAAGCCGTGCCAGCCAATCGTAAAATCATAAGAGAGCCTAACAACTCGATGAGTATGACAAATGATGTCGAATGCACATAACCAAGACTCTGAAGAGGAGGTCCTTGGTTGTGTATTTTGTGGTTCCTGATGATGAGTAAACAAAAAGATGAGAACATTTCCCTTTTTTTTTTTTGTTGCTGTTTTTTGATTTGATTGGTATTTTTGTGGCCCGAAAAGTTGCTTTTTTTTCGGACAAACTGACGACCGAATTAGCCCAACTTAGTGACAAATGAAGCCACATTCCACCTGACCTAGAAATTCAGAATTTAGGCCTGTGATTTCGGAACACAAGTCTGTCCCGTATACCAAGAACCAGCTGGACTTGATCAAGTGTTTCAAAATCTGCCAAAACAACTTCGACATCAAATTGGGAGAAAAGCTTTTGCTCCACGATGGAGTTGGTCTTTTCTTGTTGTTTCTGTTTTATTGGTGACAACCAAAGCGCCGACTTAAACCGGTGACCAAATTGAAGCCAAAATGAACCACAAACAGACATTCATGGGGTATGTCGTGTGGCTTGACACCCAAATATAGTTTGTTCAGCGGAAGCAAATGGGCTGGAGAAGGGAGGTGTTTTGAGAAATGCCATCAGCAGTCCTGCCATCGCTTTCGGCGTCTCTCCGTGGTCGGAGGAGGCCGAGGCTTTGCGGGATATTGATTCTCTCCGTCCGGAGACGGTTTCCATAATTGGTTAAAATGACCGGGTGCCGAGAGGGATAGCTCTCTGCTGAAAACCATTTCCCAGCCCCGCTTGGAGGCGAGCCAAGCGCTGGGTTGTTCGGATATGTTCCAGCCCCAGTCTGACTGGCAGCAATTAGGGGTGTCTGAGCCAAGCTCAGCTTGCGCTTCGCACAAACACCCCTAATTACTGCCAATTAGGCTAGGCGGGTAGGCAGATTTGAGAAGCCGGGGGGATGTTCAGGCATGGGTGGGCATGGAAACAATTTTCGAGGGCTTAGAACGTGATTGGATGAAAAGGTTAATGCTTCGGAGCGCACTGGGATAATCACAAAAAAAAAAAACGGGGAAGCCGAGCCCCCGGGTTCTCACCTCCAGCGACGAGCCCGGCTTCTTCTTCAGCTCCTCACATTTCCGAAACTTGCAGATCTGGTGGCCCGTTTTGCGGTTCCGACAACTGCTGCAGACACCGCAGTTGATTAGCCGCCTGCAGGGCGCGCAGACCCCACACCTTTTCCTCTTCTTCTTTGCCGGGTTTCCACTGGATGCCGAGGAATTATTCTGTGGGCAGTCTGCCAGATTGGCAATTTGAAACGCACTGTCTGTAACGGCTGCCGAGGCTGCGGGGGAGTGAAGGGCTGTCATGACGATGACCCCGGGAGGTAATGAGATGCCCCCTAAAGCCGGAATCGCTGAAAAAGTTCCAACGCGTTCGGGGAGATTCATTATCTCTGCTTCGGCAGCGCCGCATTTCAGCTTGTTCATGCATTCTCCCGCTAAAGGTCTGCAGTGTTCGGGGGATAAGGTAGAGAGGAAATTATTATTTGCCATTTGCAGCGTCTCTGGCGGCACGCCAGGCTTACCCGGCCTCTGGGAGTCATTTCTATGCATGCTGGTCCTATTAGGGTTTATTGCCGCCGATTTCCTCCCCCAAAGCATGGCGTTATCACAGTTCCAAGGGGACATGCCGATCCTGGCGCTGGGGAAAATGGGCGTCGTGATGCGAGCGATCTTGGCCGCCTGCGGGAAGGCCCCGTTGGTTTTGTAAAAGTTTGCAAAAGAGCGGTACCTTTCCATTTCGGCGTTATAATCCAAAAGCTGGCTTAATCCACCGTCTTGAAGATTATCCTTTTGTAAGAGCGACACGTCCGCGTTTTGTCCATTTTCGATGCAAAGCGCGCTGCTTAGGTTCGCCATGGCTGAGGGAGGGCTTGTCGGCGTTTAAAGGACGAAGGAGGGGGTCCGAGCGAGGTGACTCCGGCCTTTGTCGAACTCCAGCTGCTTACCAACAGCGTTGTACCATCCTGAACTATCTTGTCTGGCGCTACAAGCGGGAAGAAAGGACCAACAATTACACGTCACATTTTTATTCCAACGTAATCAGTTCACATTTATGTGTATGCAAACAGAGCCAGCGCAAACTAGTCGGGCCTGATCCTCATCGTCACTACAATGGTGAAGGAAAACCATGACCATAATTCCAAGGGTTTAACGGTGCTGTTTTCTTGAAACATATTCGAAAATGATAAACGTTTTTCATCAAATATCCATATTAGAAGACACAAGTAGCCACAAAGCACATGTCCTTACCTCATGCCTGGAACTTAAACCTTTTCGAAATAAAACTACTCTCCAGAAGCCAAGACGAGCATCCGTGCATCAAAATGCTCCTTTGCCCGGCCTCGAAAAGATCACCTGGTACATTTCCCTAACGACATAACACCAAAAGCCACTCGAGAATTTGCATCCAGAGCATGGACCAACTAGTGTCACCCACTTTGTGTGTGTGTGTGTGTGTGTGTGTGTGTGTGTGTGTGTGTGCTTCATTTCCTCTATCTCACACCCCAGTCTGTCTGGATTTGGTTTCCACAGATAAAAGCCCCATTAGACACATGCAGCCCTACTTCCATTACCTTTTTTTTTTTTTCCAGTACCCCCCTCTGTGCCTCCCCTCTTAATTGGCAAATCTGATCCATTGCCGGGACACTAAAAGGCGATTCGAATCACTTGCATGGCTCTAAATCTCCAAAATGCATTACAATCACCACGTGGAGGGTACAAAAGGGCTCGATACGGCGGGAAATACTGACAGGTTATCATCTCGCCAGTTGGATTTGATTTCTAATGATCAGAAATAGAGACTTTTTGTCAAAAGCGCACAATTTGCACATATGGAATTTTTTTTTTTTTAACACTGACAAGACGTGCAAAACCCGCAGCCAACACAGTAAACAGAACCCCCCCTTGAGCCGAATGATCAGCCCTCCTCGGGGTGATCATTACTTAATCAATTCACCCATGGAGCAGAACACGCCGGGCCCAAAGGCAATCAAGTCTAGCTGTCATCGATTTCCAGCCTGTGAACAAACTTTGGAGGAACGGAAACATCCAGCGCATACGTGGAGCTCTGGAGAAAATACTTCAGCTTACAAAAACAAAAGGTCATATCCGAATAAAGTGTCAAAAAATAATCAATTATAATGACTCATATTGCCCGGGTCACTTTTGACAGCCACATATACGGAAGCACGCAGGATGAAAAGACGTAGCACGCTTTTAAAGTGAGGAGCAGGATAGGAAGGTGGTTTCAGCTACCTACCAGGTTCCCGTTGCGAGAAGCTCCCGAGGCGTTAGCAGCCTGCGGCTGTGCACGCGCACATTACCGCCGAGAGATGCGTGGAGCGCAGCGTGGAGGTGGTAAAAGAAGAAAGGAGGACTGGGGTGGGGGTTGGAGGGAGGGGGGAAAGAAAAACAGAAGAAGAGACGCTCAGACTCCAAAACGCGCTCAAAACAAAAGAGCCATCTTCTTGTTGGTAGTGACTTTGATTCCAAAAAGACCAAAAACAAAAAAAAAAAAAAAAAAAAGAAAAAGAAAAAAAAAAAAGAAAAAGTGCAGAAACCGTGTTTTTGTCCAGCCCCCCTGTTCAAAATAACGACGGGCTCGTTGGAGGAGTGGGAGTTGCTGTGCGTCCTGATCCCGGGCTTTGTGGAGTGTGTATGAGCGCGTCTCTCCGCCTGCCTGCCTGACTGCTCGCTGGCTCCGCCGCCGCTGCTTGTCGCTGTGTGTGGCTGATTGGTGCTGAGGTGAGGACGCGGAGATGCGGACACCTACTGATCATTGGCTGGAAATTACTATAGAAACACGCAGGGGGTGGGGGGTGGAGAAGGGAGGCTGGCTCAACGCAAGCAGGGGCATATATAAGCACCTGCACGTTGGATTATTTTTATCTATAATAATTTAATTATAAGGACGGGCTACAGAGGCGGTACGGTGGACTGGTGGGGAGGAGTCTGCCCCACGATTTTGAGCGTCTGGGTCCAACTCTAAGATGAAGCTCTCGCTGTGTGGCAGTCTCCCACTTCTTCACAGATTCCCAAAACACGCATGTTAAGTTCAGAGAAGAGTCAAACCCTTGAATACAAACTCCTGGCAAAAATGTTGACATCGCCAGTCTCAGAGGATGTTCATTCGGTAGATTAAATTTGTCGAAAAAAAATCAAGAAATGATTCAGATGGCATTAAGAAACACAAAAAGAAACCAAGAAAAAAAATATGGTAGTCAGTCACGGTCATATTTTTAGACAAAGGAGATGGAGAAAAATATTGAATCACTCAATTCTAAGGAAAAAAATGGAATTAGCTCGTAAATATCCATTCCCAAAACTAAGACCGGAATCAGATTAGATCTGGTCATTAAACTGCAGTTAAGGAGAAGTGATCTCATTTTGGAGAGCTGTTGCACCAAGAGGATTGACATGAATCATGTATGACGAGAATGTCAGCAAGTGTCGAATATCGAGATCGCATCACAATATTTTGACGACATAGCATCACGATTCAACGACAGCCCGATATAGATGTTGAAAGAAAATTGACGCTACAGTGCATCGCAATACATGACATCACATTGTAAATTAATCCCATTTCTGATTTTTTTTTTTTTTTTTTGCATGTAACGCTACTGTACAGAGGCATTGCATTTCCACGTGGAACATATTACCGTATTGGCCCGAATATAAGACGGTGTTTTTTTGCATTGAAATAAGACTGAAAAACTGGGGGTCGTCTTATATTCGGGGTCGAGACATTATACCCATTCACGACGTTAGATGGCGCCAGATATCATTGAAGCGAATGCTTTATCCCCATTCACAACGCTAGATGGCGCCAGATATCAATGAAGCGAATGCTGAACTTGACTACCCAGGCCAAAGTGAACCCCTGCCACGAAAAATAAAAATGAAAATAGCGGTAGCACGAAGAAGAAAAATAAAAAATAGCGGTAAGAAAGAAAAGAGAGGAAAATAATAGAAGAGATAACAGAAAATGGAGAAACATAGCGACAATCTGGAGAAAAGTGGGTCGGAGATCGGCCAGGTTAACCGGCAGCTGAGAAGTTATGATGTAATTTACATTTCAAAAATCAGAAGCCATTCATTGACGAATGTGATTGCACTTTAGTTTACATATTTAAATGTTCAGATATTAAGATTTGAATGAGGAAAATACATGCTTTTTGTCTCAAATATATTGTTATAATCATTTGTTTCAGATGTACTGTAATTATTTTCTGTATAAAAATTAATTTGGTGTTCAAAAAGTCTTTTTTCAAACTTGAGTCTTGAAAAAGAGGGGGTCGTCTTATAATCAGGGCCGTCTTATATTCGGGCCAATACGGTGGAGCAGGGTACACAGACTCATTTACATGCTCGAAATGGTGTTGCCAATTTTTGTTTTTTTTAATAGTGGACTTGCATAAACCTTAGGATCAGCACTGCACCATAAATGGAGGACATGAGAAGATTTGACAGAGACCTTGTGCAGTTCATGAGTCAGACTGCCCCCTTGTTACTGTAAATGCGGGTCAGCCTGAGTAGGGGGCAGTAGCTCTGGCAGCTCGCGTTTCGAGGTCAGAGTTGTTCAGCCTTTCATTGTCACGAGGTGTTGGGAAGTTCTGTGAACCGGATACTGCTGTAATCATTCAACTACTCCACCGGTCTAATGCAACACTGTTATATTTTGTCACCGATAAAATAGTACACGCATACTGGAGGAGCACTACACCACATGACAACGATTGCCAGGGGAAGTGATCCAGATTTGGAGACGGTACACCTTTGGTCCAGGTAACTGACTGCAAATGAAAATGTCAGCACAAGTGGTGGAGGTAAACAGAAAATAAACTCATATTTTGTGTAACATACGACAATCCACTTATTGACGGCTCACTTTTGGTGTCTTAATCGTGGATCTCACACACACAAAGACTTGAAAAATCAGTTTGTGTGTAGAGCGCTCACCCACTATTTGCGAGGGAGAAGGACCAAGCCCTGCAGAGAACAGTCAAAATAACCCCCTAGCCCCACGTCCCATAAATGTTTGTAATTGCCGACAGATGCCACAAGATGGTGGTGAACCACTATTTTGTTTTTCTAAATAAAGCTCCAAAACACCTTTCAGCATAGGTATTGTGGCACAAAGCAAGACTTTCGATGCTTTTGGCCTGAGCAGAAAAACAGCACAAAATTTTGTTTTTCAACAAATAAGGGGGATAGGCTAACCCCCCCCCCCCCCCCCCTCCCAAAACTCTAATACACAAGGAAACACTGTACCTCAATTTGTATGGAGCAGAGCTGCCTCCCTCGGTCCAGGGACAGCCAGAATGGTTAAAAAAAAAATCCCCTCGGGATTCATCACCATTATAAAGCCGCCTGCTGGCCACACATGCCGTGCTTTGCTCCCGCAGGCACACAACAGCGTGCACATTTATTTCACGAGTCCCCTGCGTGATAGCGTGGGCTCTCCACTCATGTTGGTGCCTGTGGCTTTGGGAGTTTAAATGAAATCACCACTTCAATCGGCGTCCTGGATTATTACCCACCGCACACCATCACCACCACTGCCCCCCCCGCCCACTTCCCCCTCCTTCGCACCTCGACGCTCAACATTTATTCCGGGCTTCGGGGTGCAGTTTGGAACAAAGTCACCGTGGCGCGCGTGCTTCACCTCCTCAATTTCATGTTGGGGCCAATTATTAATTAATCGTCCATGCAAAATTGATTTATATGCGCCCTCCTATATTCAATTTTAGATCGCAACCACTGGCATATAAAAAGCTCGCCATTGTGTCATTACAAGCACAATAGCCTGTCACTGGGGTGGGATTCTCAAAGGTTCTTGAAATTTTAAAGGCAGTTTGTCAGAATTTATTTCAGTTCGACACAGCGGTTTGTCAAACCCCAGCACACGCGCACACGCACACAATCAACCACAAGGATACCAAACACCAGCACTGAAGCCGGCACCAAAACCCAAGTGGACGAATCTTTTGAACCCCGCCCCAAATAATGTGCACAAACAGTCGATCTCAATGTGGCTCTGTGACCCTTGATAACTGACCAACTTTTGACTGCAACACATTTCCCGGAGGACAGATATTAGATACAGTAAATAACATATATTATTATTATTATGGCATTGGATTAACCCTTACAGGGACAGCGGTTCCTACAGTGGACAGTTTACCCAGTTATCAGATTACGGGGTGCGTGAAAGGGTTGAAGCACCATTGATAATAAAATCTACACCACAGGAAAGAGAACACTACTTGCTTGATAAGGATTTGAGTGGAGTCAAAATGGAGGGTCAAGTCAAGTACAACTTTATTGTCAAAAGCGCTGTATGTGCAACATACAGCGCAGATGAAATTTCCTCCCTCTCAACCAGACAACAAGACAACAAGAGGAGCCGCTGCGGGTGCCTGCGCCGCCATCATCAGGGTGCAACTTGTGTGTGTGTGTGTGTGTGTGTGTGTGTGTGTGTGTGTGTGTGTGTGTCTAACCAAATTACGATGGCACAATCCGCCTGCCGTATGCGCCACACACATGATCGCACTAATCGATAAGTAAGATTGGGCAGCCCGGGGATCAAGTTCGAATACCGTCCCCTCACTGAAAGCATTCGTCATAACGAGACAAATAAATCATCACAATAAAGTGGAACGAGGATTCCCTTGGCGCCACGCGGCTGCGAATCGAGACCGAGGGCAGGAAGAACATGGACTGCTGCGGTTCATCGAAGAAGCCCAATGAGCGGGCATTGCAGCGTACACATCAGGAGGGATGGGAAGAATAATTAACGGATCGATAGAAAAAAAAAATATCATTTGATCATTCTTATGTGATTTTATTCCCTCCCTCGAGGGTGATGAAGGAAATTTTGTCAAAATGCCCGTCCCTTCCATTTCGAAATATCAGTGGTGAAGGTAATCGCGGGTTTGCATGGGGTTCTTCCATCGGATCCGACTTTTTAAGAGGAACGGTTTTTGCTCTCGAGTGGTTTTAAAATCCAATGGCATTGTGCAAAAGACCGCCCCGGGGTCTCTTGTCGCTTGTAATGCCGTTTTTCATTGGTCAATTGAGATTGATCCGCCGTCTACGCAGCGGAAACCGGCTCAATAACACCCTGATGATGAAGGATTAATCAACTCATGTCATACGAAAGAAAATGGCAGGACTAATAAGTAGACCGCTGCTTTTACCGGTTGATCATCTGTTGCTGACGGTCCCAGTTAAAAAAAAAATGTTTTGACATTTTCCAGATAACTTGATGTTCTCCCAGTATGCCAACCACATAATTTCAGCGGCGACTTGCTGGAACCGAAATTGGGATGGCTTCCATTTTTGACGATTAATCCGGTTGTTACCCATTGCCTGATTTATGCTTCAGGGCAGGTTTGCGGATGATTCAGTCTTTGAAATCATTTCTATCAGCTTTCCTCCAGTTTTTTTTTCCCCCCCATGCACGCACCGTGTTTTTGCATTTCGTTGCACGGGTGGGGGGATTAGGAAAGGGATTGTCTTGACTTTTGCCAAAACTGATGACGAATCATACATTTTGAGACGTGAGACACTCATGACGGCTTATATTGAAAAACATTCTCAAAGCAGAAATTCCCCCCTCAACGCCCGCCCGTATCAGAGCCCCTACATCTGCGTGCGACGGAGCTCTTCTGTCTGGAAGCCATTTTTTTTTATCTTCTGGGCGATAATAGCCCTCGAGGGAAATCTTGTCGTGGTGGTCCTAACCTCTGTCTGCGAAGCCACGGCGCCGTGCGAATCTCCAGCGGCGGGGAGGCACGAACCCTCGCGGCGGCCCTTTGTTCCCCACTATGCGTGCTCTGGAGCCGATCCCCTTGCGTCTCCTCCTCCCCGCTGTTATGGCGCACTTTTAACTTAAGTCGGAAGAGCAATTAATAACCATGAAGCCAGATTTAAATGTGGCCCACATTTTGGGGAGGTCGACGAAGAAGGGGGGCGGGGTGTCAGAAGACCTGGGTGCTTGAGGAGCGACGGCGCGATCCACTGATTCAACCTGAGGCGCAACGCTGAGAAAACATTGCAAGGAAAGCAAGGAACACATTCATCTTGCACAACATTGCTGACAAACGACGAAGCACGTCAGATGATCATA